CCCAAACTAACCGCAAACTTTTGAATGGTAGTGCACATCAATATTTAATACTAATCTGGTTCTCTAACATATAGCTTATTCTCTAAATGCTGTTTTTTGCATGTTTATAACATCTTTTATCTTTTCGCAAACTTTTGAATGGTAGTGCACATCAATATTTAATACTAATCTGGTTCTCTAACAAATAGCTTATTCTCTAAATGCTGTTTTTTGCATGTTTATAACATCTTTTATCTTTTTTTAAAATCTTTCCCTGTCTATCTTGTACTTATTTGAACAATGCTTGAAACTTGGTATGATGAGCACTTCCTGTGTCTATTTGCCTCTAAGATGAATCGCTTGATGTATTCCCCAATTGTAAGTCGCTTTGGATAAAAGCGTCTGCTAAATGAATAAAACAAAATGGGAATGTATATAACAAAATTCCCTCATTATCAGTATTTACTAATCGCTAAGAGAAAGTAATGGATGCACAATAAGCCGATTAATATTAGAAAGCTGCATGACCCTGACAAGAAGAGAAAGCTAATTTTGCCATAATGACTGGGTGAGTGTACTTTATGTGAGTACTACTTATGATCTGTTGCCCTCTGGTGGTACCATTTCTGCCTACAGATACTAGAGATGTGAGATAATACAATCCGGTTTTAAAAGCCTGAAAGATAAAATTGCCTCTCTAGAACACTTGATTCTGATTGGCCAGCGGTCAATTTTTTATAAAATAATGACTGTCCATAGCAACACTGCTCATCTTCTGTTTCTACATGGTCTCTACAAGCAAGATTTTGAACTCAGCATCATCAAATTAGGAAATATTATGCCTTTTTTGTGCAAATCAGCAGAAATATTTTTCCAAGATGCAGCACTGTGCTATATAAGTTTTCATAAATTTTTAAATAAAAAATAAGAGATTTAATACTTAATTATAAGAGATTTTAATACTTTGGTGATCATTTTAATTCCATGTGATAAAATGAGAAGCACTTCCTTCTGATTTAAATGAAGCATAAATCACATTTTATTATAGTACTTAACCACTCCAAGCCAATAAGAACAAATTGCATAATAATAATGTTTGTATGAAGTCAATTAAATATTGTGTATTAGGCCCGGTCAGCTCCAGGTGAGAAATATGCATGAAGCAAATGTGCAACAAAACAACTTATAAAACTTCATAGCTGATTATTATATTATTAAATCCCCATCAACACTAAGTTTTGGTCAGTCAGTCTCGACCCGCCTTCAGTTTCTCAGCCATCGTGTTATCATGCTTGGATCCTCCCATGCACGGGGGGCTTTTGGCCAGGCTGGGGTTGCTGCTCCACTGCTGGGGCGTCTTAGCCTGGATGGCGAGGGCATGAACGCAGCTGCTGAGCTCCTCCCGCAGGGTCTCGTTTACAAGCCGATGACGCTGCAAGAGCGAAAGACCCTCAAACTGAGGACTCACCACCAGAACTCTGAAGTGGGACTCTGAACCAGCGGGTACGGCGTGCATGTGACTCTCGTTCATGACCTCCAGGTGTTCAGGTTTGAGGGCCTGGGCCAGTTTGGTCTGTATTGTGGTCTCCACAGGACCCATGTGGAGCCGGTGATGGGTCAGTTGTCTGGTTAAGGCAAGGGTGCAGGTGGAGGGACGCAGGCAGCGGAGAGCACTGGACAGCATCAGGCGCAGGCGAGACCAGCTGCAGGAAAACATCAAAGATCAGTGAGAAATTTCTGTTGAGGAGTGATTTGGCACTCCAAACACAATTTGTCTTCTTAAGGACTCGAACTAGACAATGAAGCACTCTGTAATATACTACACATGCATGACATGCAAGTCTATAATAAAGAGATAAATCTGTCAATTCTATTCCTGCTTTATATAGTTCTCATCTTCAATAACATAAGAAAAATAATTTGTGTGGTCATTTTAAGGAAGTATTTCTATAAAAGGCTACACCAGACTCCCAGAAACATGCTTTGTTGAACTTAAAACATTTAAACTTGATTATTTACAAAATTGCAAGGAATAAATTAAAGAGCTAAATTTAGCTATTTATCAGTAAGGGGTATTATATTATATTATATTACTGATTTCTGTGATTTTATCAAAAAGGATGGATATCTATGTTTATGTTGACAGATAGATAGATAGAGTACTTATCAAAAGTTTGGAAATTATTTTAAAATTATTTTTTTTATTATACGCGCGGACTAACTTGATAAAACGTTGTCAAAATATGTATAAAAGTAAACTGCAACAATCGTCTGTGCACCAGGTACACGTAGCAATCTCATCGATAAATAGTATATTTAAGCCGCAAACCGTATGCAGCTTCATCCAGCCGAAAGGTTAGAAATGACATATGCCTTCATAGCTACTCTTTAAAATATAATTTCTTTCACAGGTTTACATAAGCAAACAGCACAATGACAAGTGACAAAGAAAATGCATGATCAAATATCGAAATAATTTCTCTCACCTTTCGTTTCCGGAGTGTTGTTTTTGTATTATCCACAGGAAGCGATTCATGCAGCTTCTCCTTCGCTGTTTAGAAAGCTGACGGCTGAAATGACATGACTGCCGCCTAACGGCTAGATAGAAAGTTGCGTTAGATACTGAGGGTACCTCTATTTTGGGTATACATTACATAAACAACCTAGTTTTCAGACAACGCAACACCTCAAAATTCAGCTACAAGTTAGTCGAGCGCGCATTTTAATTTGGCGCCAAATAAACGTTCACGAACAGAATTCGAATTCACCTGAGGGTGCAACCATAGCACCTGCATAAATTCAAATTATACTAAACAGTTTTAATTCTACATATGTTTATACAGTGATTTCATACTGTACGTACTGTTCCGTAACTTAACACGTAAATACTGTTATTTCATATTTTGTCATTATATTGTAGATTTAGGCAACATAGGCTATCAGAAGTATATAAAAATTTTATTGTTGAGGTTTGACACTCCAAATTTGCTTTCTTAAGGACTTAAGAACTAGATGCTTAAGCATTCTGTAACATACTATGATACGTAAGTCTATAATCAAGAGATAAATCTTTCAGTCCTGTTCCAGTTATATTTTTTTAATTCGGCGCCAAATAAATGGTCGCGAGCTGAAATCAGATTCGCCTGAGACTATATCAGCTGCATAAAGTATATATAGGCCTATGCTAACCATTTTAATTCTATATATGTGATTCCATAACATACTGTAAGCTACGTTACTGTAAGTTGACAACATAACTACTGTTATTTATTTAATATTTTATCAATTTATTGTAGATTTACATATCAGAAGTAGCCTAGTAAGTACAAACAAAAATGTAATTGCTTATTTGTGTGATTACATCTGAAAATTTCTGAAGCCCTGGAATATAGCAGACATGTCATAGGCCTACTTAATTTTTTTACATACTTTTTTGCTGCTTTTACTACAGTTTATTTTTTTTGAACCAACCGCCAAGTAGGCTATTTCTATTTGCATGAAAACCAGGCCCTGGACCTTCTGCAAAACATTCATGTCTGTGTTTCACAAAAGAAGAACATGGAACCATGATGGTGAGTAAACAATGACAGAATTTCCTTGAGTATAAGTTTGTCTGAGTGGTGCGTGCGTGAAGAACTGCAATAATCTATTCAAGCATTATACCATTTGTTTATTATTTGTATGTATGTTTTAAATCCATTGAGGGACAGTTTGAAATGCACAAGCGCAGTCCGATCCCCAGAATACGAGTCAAAAAACGCAAAGTAAATCTCTCACAAACTGTAATACAGAACCATTTTGGTAAGGATGGAATAGTCTCTATATTCAGCGATAATGTCAACATTTCCATTCTCATGTACAAAAAACAAATCACAAAATGAACAACATACAATAGTACTCTATTTCTCATGTTCAACGTTTTTATATTTTTTTTGTTTTATTATTCCACATATTTATTCATTTACATATAAACATCTACAATCTCTACAGCACAGTACAATGATAAGGTGATAAACTCTCTGTCACATTTAAATTATGGCAATACATTGAAACTGACAAAAGCATCAGAAGACCTATGGTATATTTGCAGAGTACATGGATGTTGGCCTGTTGTTTTCTTTCAGCTGCTGTTTCATCAAATATGGCCAGCGGATATTTTAGTGTGCTTTCTTGCCCAATAGTTTGGGGGCAGAGCGAACATGTTTACCACTTATTGCTTTGATTTACTTTTGCACACAAGATTGATTGTTGCTAAGTGAACGCGTTTAGAAATACAAAAGACCCTGTAACAAAACCCAAAAGTCTTACGACCAGTACACAATCTTAAGTGAGGAAGTGCTTGTACACAGATAAGTCATAGCTTCACTGAGATTAGTTACTGTAATTCACAGCATACGACAGCAATTATGACATACTCGTTACTAGGGAACAACAGCTACACGTTGGAGATGTGAAGGGTTACAAACTGCTGGACTGTTTGGAAATGTTTTCGATGGGCCATTTTGAAAGTGACATCAAAGAAGTTCAATATATATAACAGATGATTGGTTGTGCGTACAAACAATTATCTAGTTTACTGACCAACCAAATCTTTAATATTTATCGTTTTCAAGCCTTCTCTAAATTGTAACCAGCTTTCGGCTCGTTTTAAACGTTTGCAAGAGCATGAAGTGCGTCCCATCGGAGTAAAACACCTGATTGAGAGATATGTCTATAGCCTCAAAACTTTGTTTTTCATATTGTTTTTCTGTTTGGTTCGCCACACCCTGCTAGAACGTCGATGTATTACAATTGACGCATTTGTCTGTGCCGTGATGTGAGATCTGCCAGTACAAACCGAGGAAATAGAAAATATTTGGCAATTAAAGATGCGCATGGTCACACATGGCACACATAAAGATTGTCACTACAGTATCTGTGACACTACTGGTGACCGACGGTCACGGCAGGGATGGCGGTTTCTAGAATTTTGTAACTATGTGATGCATGGCACTGCGCAATGCCGCTTTCTCCAATTTGGTTCGCCACACCCTGCTAGAACGTCGATGTATTACAAATGACGTTTTTGTCTGTGCCGTGCTGTGAGATCTGCCAGTACAAACCGAGGAAGTAGAAAATATTTGGCAATTAAAGATGCGCACGGTCACACATGGCAAACATAAAGATTGTCACTACAGTATCTGTGACACTACTGGTGACCGACGGTCACGGCAGGGATGGCGGTTTCTAGAATTTTGTAACTATGTGACACATGGCACTGCGCAATGCCGCTTTCTCCAATTGAAATAGGCTGTAAGGCTGTTAGAAACATTTCAAGAGCTTGAAAGTTACATTTGTGCCTAAAATTAATAGTTTGGTTGAAGTATTTTTAAATCTAAAAATGGTTGGTTGTATTGTGTGTCTACTCTGAGCACATAATATGGCTGCTATCCTACAAAATGGCAGTAAAGAATTTGAGAATGACACCAAAAACGGTTTTCATGTAAGCGCTGGTTGTGTTTACGAGCAACAGGGCTGAAATATATCTATTTTTTGCGTCATTATCTGGTTATTTAACCAGTTTTCCATGATTCTCCATGGAACTAGTATTAATTGTGCTTGGTAAAATGTAGCAGAATTGGACAAGTTGCTTGTCCTAATGGGATATATCCTAGGTTTTTGCTTCCTATCAAACGTTGCTTTATTTTTAAAATCCATTGGGTTTTGACTTTCGCTTCTTTTTCATGCTATATTCAGTCACTGCTACCAAGTCACCAAAGAATTGAACATCAGGTCAACAACGATACAGCAAAAAATTCACCCTGCATGTGGCACTACATCTGTTTCTACAGATACTCAAAGTAAAAAATACTATAAAATCAAACTCTCATAAACAGTTATATAAATAAATACAAATATTCAGAGAACACTCAACATTTCACATGCAAGCACACATACTTCCATACTTACACACACACCCACACACAGACGGATACCTCTGTTTCTTTACAAGAACACAAGAGAAAACGTGAAGGAGGGCGATTGTGTGTGCTGCAAATCAGTGTATTGACTTGTTCAGTCATTTTTTTATATATTTGCTTTGATAAAAAAAAAAATTAAATCCCTTAATGAACAGATAAACTGTATATACATACATCAAATGGAATCTATCTAAGACATATGTTGATACTAGTTCAACATTTGAACATGTAAATATATTTTCTTATATATATGTTTGTATATTTAATAATAGTTTGAGTGTTCAAACAGACAGACTTGAATTACAGCTAATTTTTATATATTTATATTCAATACATAATTTACATAATCATCAAAATAAAACTATTGTTTTTGACAGTTTAATCAAATCACATTGTGATTCATTTGTTCATTTTTTCCTTTAGTTTTTTCTTAATGGATTTTTTGTATGAAAACAGGGCGAATGTAACGTTTGTCTCAATGTTGGCGCACATTCGAAAGCGACGCAACTAAAACTGCTCTGTGGATCTCAATAGGAACACAAACTCTGGGACAAAGTATGATAGTAGCATAAAACAATGCAAAGTATGAATAATGGCGTACTAAACCATACAAATGACAACCCATCATGTCACTTATCTCATATTTTACATCATGTCCAAAGAATCATAGGTAGAGTAGCGTAATACAGAGCACTTTCATCAGTTATGTTCACTATCTTCAAGCATATTCTTATGAATCGACACACTTCATTGCATGCACAACACCGTCAATAATCAGACGTTTTGAAAGAACAACCGAATTTGAATTCCGAAAGCCAAAAATGAGTGAACCACTGTCTATAGTAATGTGACGTCAGTGTTAATGCATTAAAACATCTAAAAAGTGAGGAGTGCTTGAGCCGATATTGCAGACAATTGCGGCATCACACACTTTTTACGTTTTTGGGACACAACGGGCTTGAGTAAAGCAACAACAATAACCATCACCAGCACCACTAGATCAACACTGTCCATTCAAATATATCTACCTACTGATTTCACGGGCCCTCAGTGATGGTTTTCAAATCACGTGATGGCTCGGATGAAGATTAAAGGGAAAGTCAAAATGAACATGTTAAATTTCACATTCATTCCATAACGTAAAGCTGGAATGTGTTTAACATGGCAGTTTTTCTACACACACATACACACATACACATAGGGTTTCCAATATTCCTGTGAGACAGTGAGACATCAGCAGGGAACATGTCTATAAATGTAGATCTGAATGAAATCAAATTAAATTGAATGAAATAATAATACGATTGCACATATTGGAGGAATGAAGATATCTGTAAATGTTGGATTTGTGTGGGCTGCTTCCAGCATTGCTCACTCAAGGACAGGGTCAAACTCAAACGCCGCCACCTGCATGCTGGAACGCTGCACTATTGAAGCACCTGACCGCGAGTCTCAGGAAGCTTGAGAGCCAAGAAGCTTCCGACTGCCAAAGCTGCTGATGCAAAGAGGATGGGCACCGCTTTAGTGATGCCCACAAACGACTGGAAGATGCTGATGCCCAGAACTGCAGCTAACTTACAGAGGGCGTTTAGAAAGCCGAAGGCTGTAGTTCTGTGGAAAAGAAGAAAAATATTTAAAATTTCATAAATCGGATCTGTTTATAAAGAAATTCGTCCTTCTTTTTCAAAGAAGTCTCTTATGCTCACCAAGGCTCCTTTTATTTGCTCTAAAAACAGTAATATTGTGAAATATCATTACAATTTAAAATAACTTTTTTCCTATTTTAAAATGTAATTTATTCCTGTGATGCAAAGATAACTTTTCAGCTTTTCACATGATCCTTCAGAAATCATTCTACACTTTTTTTTAATTAAAGGTTCTTTATTGGTCACTGAAGGTTCCACAAAAAAAGCTTTAACAACCATGGAACCTTTTCATTGCAGAAGAGCTTCTTTATAGCAGAAAAAAGGTTTTTCAGACTAAGAAAAACATGATTCTTATAAGAACTGTTCACTAAAAGGTTCTTTGTGGAACTCAAAATGGTTCTTCTATGGCATCACTGACTGCACACAACAACAAAAAAAGTGTAATATGCTGAAGAAACATTTGGTATAATTATGAATGTTGAAAACAGTTGTTCTGCTTCATATTTTTGTGGAAGCGGATACATTTTTTCAGGATTCTTCGCTAAATAGAAAGTTATTTGGGATCTTTTATAATATTGTAAATGTCTCCAAACCGTTTCTGAAATCGTTTCTGAACTCTTAGGGGTGCTAAAGAGCCAATTTTGTTAAGCAGGCACTGTCAACATATTTTCTTAGAAATAATGCATAGCACTTTGTGGCAGAACTGCTGAGACTTCATTCATTTTGACTGAGAATTTTTAGATATGCCCTAAATTATGATGTATTTGATCTGCACTGCAGTGGCAATGCAGCACAGAATTACTGACATACATTTGATCTATTAATCTTTCAAATCATTTCACACAGTATGAAAACATTTTCATTAAAGGAGAAGAGAATCTTGCTTTTATTCAATTTCTTTACAAATACAGTACATGTTATAAAGCGTGGCACAAGTGCCCAGATATGTTTTGAGATCACTGTTAAATACACATGCAATTGTGAAAGATGCACAATAATCACAGAAATACAAGCTTGACCCACCTCTTGTCCGAGGGGTACAGCTCCACTGTTAGCACATCCAGGGCATTCCACGACGCAATGCTGATGCCCCCAAACAGACAGAGCAAGGCAATCATAGCAGATTCACTGTTTCCAAATGACAGGAAGAAGCAGCTGACGCAGGAAATCACACTGGAACCCGCTGCACCAGATGACAAGAGTGAGAACAAATGTTTATTATTTTTTAAAAAGAATTCATATTATTCGGAGCTCCAAAAACTATTTAGCACTGATGCAACTTGTTTTTCTTACCCAGCATTCTTAGACGTCCGATCTTGTCCATGAGCAGGGCAGACACGATGTTCCCGGGCAGGACAGCAAGTGTGCCGAGGAAGCTGACGAAATAGATCATGTACGCGTTGTTCTCATCGCTGAAATCCAGCATACAGCCCTCTTTGTTATGCAGAAAAGTGCTGTTGATGAGTTTGCTGTTGATCAGCCGGTACTTGAACAAGTCTAGAAACAGATGAGAGCTCTTGTTAACCAATGCAGCAGCGATTCTTTCAGTACACCAATTTAAGTATGCAGGCGTTTCTAGGTCAAATTTCTAAATTGCCAAGTTTTGGCTTTGTTCTCCTACAAGCACTCTTCAGTCCTCAAACATTATATGTAAGTCTCTTTGCATTGCTTTGACCATTCTCTGTAGATCCCACCTTATTGCATCCTACGATTGGTCGATTATGTACTATGTCTGCATGCTACTGGTCAAACTACTTTTCAGTCATTACATTCAGCAAGTATGAAAACAATAGCAAAGTAAAGCCAAAACCTGGATATTTTAGACAACTTAGAAATCATAGCCAAGACTTGTCTGGGAAAAAGAGGACGTATGGTCACCCTAGAATAAATAAACATCTTTATGCATGTAGTCTAATGCATTGAGCTACTTCAAGACGCAGAGGACAGAAACCAACTGAATTTTTGACATTTGCCTCCATACTAAAACCTTGTAAGCTGTCTACTGCCTTCAAATGGTTATTCACACGGGATATGGATACTATAGTCATTGGCATCCTGGATTAATTTATTCACTTAACCTTTTGAAAAACAGCATTTTGCATGCCTTGTAATGCATGGCAGGGGATGCATGCATGCAGGCATACACCAAAAAAAAAAAAATTCAGGAACACAAAAGAAGATATATTGAAGAATGTTGGTAACCAAACGGTTTTGGGTCCTGTTGACTTCTATAGTGTGGACAAAAAATAAGATGGAAAGGTTTGGTTATCAATATCTTCTTTTGGGTTTTAAAGAAGAAAGAAATGCATACAGGTTTGGAATGACTTGAGGATGAGTAAATTATGACAAAATAAATTATGATAAAAGCATCTGCAAATGCATTCATGTAAACATTAAAATGCTGTCTAGGTAGGCAGTGTACTAGGTTTTGGAACAGAGTCTTTGTTTCTTAGCCTCATCATTTATTTTCAAGCTACTCAAGGTAGGGCTGGGTATCGTTCAAAAATTTCCGATACGATACCGATACCGATACCTTGACTTCGATATCGGTTCCTGAATGATACTTTTTTCGATACCAATTTTATGAAATCAATGTATGAATAAACGGACATCTGCATATGATTGGAACTCCACGCAGCTCCCGCATTCTCCATTGGAAAATAATGGCTTCCGGTCTGTCACGACTCGCTTGTCGTTTGTCAGAGCTAGTGGAAAGCCGGGTGTGCCTCACACGTCCTGAAAAGTGAAGCTGCGGGCTCTTTGATCGCCCCCTGGTGGCTGGCTGCAGTACTGGTCATAAACCTCGCCCTCTCCATGTAAACGAATGGGACTTGAGTCAAAATAAAAAAATAAATTACACTTCCAATACAATTTTCCGAAAGATGGTTTTGGTCATTTAATCGATGGTGGTTTAAAGTGAGTTTTGAGTAAAAGCGGAATATAAATCTTATTTATTGTCTTATGTAGCATGATGCTACAGTTTGCATGAATGGACACATAACACACGCTTTCGGTCGTGTAACGTTAGTATGAATGGACATCTGCATATGATCGGAACTCCACACAGCTCCCGCGCTACTCTCCATTGGAAATGAATGACCGGTCTGTCGCTTGTTGTTTGTCGGAGATAGTGGAAAGCCGGCTTGAAACGCAGTGGAAACGCCAGTACGACGAGGATCGTTTTCATTTTAAAACAAAAACGCACCAGTGTAAATGTGGCTGGGATGCATTCACACTACAGCCTCACGTGTGCGCCATATCTCTGAGTGTAACCGGTGTAAACTAGTAGGTGTGTTCGACTTGACGAGGACTGACTGTGCAGACCGATCAGTGTATTACAGTACCACGAGAGCTATAGAGAGCAGACTGCCCTGCACGCTTTCAAATCGCTCTCTCGGATGTCAAACACTGATCGATCTGCGAAGCCCCGCTTCTAGTTGAACACACCGGCAAGGGCTGCAGGCTTATTGGCTCACTGACGCTGATGAGATTAACCCCTTAGGTATCGAAATTTGGTACGGAACGACGAGACGTTTTTTGATACTCGATGGTATCGAGGCAATTCGGTGCCTAAAGTATCAAACTCGATACCCAGCCCAAGGAAACAATCATAAACGCACAGCACGACTGAATCAGGAAAAGCAGATTGTCATTCCTTCACAGACAGGCAGAGGAAGAATCTGAGCTGGTGTTGCTAGGATACCTGAAACATTTTCAATGCATTCAATAGCTCTAGAAACAGGAGCCATTTTAACCGTGTCATACGAGTGTCTTCTTATAAAGATCAAAGCTTTGAACGACTACGGCTGGAATTCAAATATTTTATACGTCTGAATGCTGTTGAATGCCTATGCTATATATATTTTTTATACCCAGAAGGGTGAAACCTGTGGTTTTCTCACCTGTGTTGTAGAAGAGGGTGGAGATGAAGGTGCAGTTTTTGAAGAAGGGTTGCTTGACGTGATATCCTCAAAGTAGCATTCCTCAAACATGGAGTCTTCAAATACCATCGACTTCATCTTCAGATTCAAGAACCTTTAAAGACAAAGTGAAAAGATTCACTAAGAAATGTGTATTGCTGCCTTAGAGGTATTCAGAATTCCTTTAGCTTCTTCAAAGTGGCCCAAATACAAATGGATAACGAATAATGCAATCGCCAAAAACACACGTTTTGATTGTCCTGTGGTAAACATGAAATATTATACATAAAACAGATAAATATTACTAATTAAGCACCAAAACAATAAAACAAACTACAACAGAGAAATAATACAGTACAATGCAAATAATAAACAGAAATGTATTGAAAAAATATACAGTATACATTTGTAAATGTTTCTCCTATAATACTGTAAGAAAAATACAAATATAAACCGTTAAGATAATTACTGACAGGCAATAATAAAGGTCTAGTAAAAGTAAAAGTCTTCATCTGGTCTCTGTGATTTTGTATCATTCCTATTGGATATGTTGTGCATGTTGAGACAAATTTGTATTTAGACTTTATTGAAGGTCATGAAATTAAAACGGCATTGTGACTACAAAACAAAAAGCGTTAGCTGATAAGAGATTAGCTTGTATATAAAACCACATTCCTGATTAGCTGAACATAAACTAGATTTGTGGGAAAGACTTTATCTAGTTGAAGTGGAACAGCTGCTCATAATTGGGATACATTATTTGAATAAAACTGTAGGACACTGACTGATTAATGGTTTCATAGAGGGGCTGGAGGGTGATCACACTATCACAGGCTTCACATGAAAGCTTCTGAGGAACAGTTGCTCTGTTACAAACTCTAGTGAGCTGCCTTACGGTCTACAGGCAGCCACCTATGTGAAATGTATTTCTCTCAACTCGTCTGCATTCGCATGATTTTTAGCAACACACTCTGGGATTGTCTTTCTAAAAAAATATACATACTGTATGATCAAGGTTGTTATTGTAACTAAATCTAAAACTAATAAAAATCATTTTTGTTAAGTGAAATAAAGCTGAAATATAAATATTAGATGAAAAACCTAAATTTAAAGTTTGAAGTACAGAAATTAATTAAAAAAAAAAAAAAAAATCTAACTGTCGAAATCATTCAACCATTTTTTAAAAAAT